TTTCGAGGACTCAATACGGCCCTCCCTAGTTCGGGCCCAATTTTCCTTCATTCAGATTCGAGTATCGAGGGTGATTTTTCGTAGAACTAAGTCCCCGACTCCGAAATGTCGGAGGTTGGTCCTCCTATTGTAGTATCTTTCGATCCTTTGCTTTTGCGCGACCATTCGAACAAGTGTTGCTTCTTGTTTTTCATCTGCCATCGGGGTATGAAGCAAAGGCGGGCTCGGCGGATGTCGCTTTAATTCTTCTAAGGCTTGTTGACATTCCGGGGTCCACGCGAAGTCCTTTTCCTTTTTGAGCGAAGAGAAAAACTGCTGACTTCGATCCGACGACCTCGCAAAGAATCGACCCAAGGTAGCCATTGCCCCGTTAGCCTTTGCACGGCCTCCATGCTATCCACGATCGTGATACCCTCGACAGCCTTGATTTTGGTACCTCGATTTGATGCCACGACGTCGAGGGACTCACTTGAGCCAACCCCGAAGGTTTCTCCGGGCTAAGCTTCATGCTGTATTTCCTCAAGATCGCAAATGTTTCCTGTAAATGAACTAAATTGTCCTCTGAGCACAGGGACTTAACCAACATATCATCAATACAAACTTCCATTGTTTTGCCTATTCGTTTTTAAAAACATTTTGTTAACTAGGCGTTGGTATGTAACTTCCTGCATTTTTTCCACCCGAAGGGCTTTACGTTGTAACAACAGGTTCCAAATTTAATAATAAACGTAGTCTTTTCCTGGTCCTTCGTGTTCATCTGAATCTGATTGTACCCGGAGTAGGCATCGAGAAAAGTTAGGGTCTCGTGGCCAGCTAAGGCATTGATCATGCGATCGACGTTTGACAAGGGGAAAGAATCTATTGGACATGTTCTTTTCAAGTCCTTATAATCTATGCACATTCTAAGTTTGTTTCCTTTTTTAAGAAGTTTGGTTACCTGGTTCCGTCTAGGCCGGGGCTGTGATGGCTATTTAGCTGCCTGCTTACCTTTGGTGCTCGATTTTTCCGAGGTCAAGGGCTCTGGTATCCGCACCACTTCCTCGATCGCAAACATCTCTTTTGCATCATGTCGCTCTGCGTAGACTGATTTCACTCCTTCCTCCGTCGGGAATTTCATCATTTGATGAAGAGTTGAAGGCACTGCCTTCATGTTGTGTATCCACGGTCTCCCGAGGAGTGCGTTATACCTCATGTCGCCTTCGATGACATGGAACTTCGTATCTTGTATGGTCCCGGCTACGTTTACTGGCAAGATGACTTCTCCCTTTGTTATTTCGCTCGCCATGTTGAAGCCATTCAGGACCCGGGATGCAGGTACAATCTGATCTTACAGGCCGAGTTGTTCCACGACCTTCGATCTGATTATGTTTGCTGAGCTACCTGGATCCACTAAAACACGTTTAATTTGAATTTTATTTAAAAGGATAGAGATTACCAGGGCGTCATTGTGAGGCTGAGATATGCCTTCTGCTTACTCGTCACAGAATGATAAGACGTCCTCGGGCACATAACTCCGAGTTCATTTTTCTCTGGTGATTGATACTTTGGTGCGCTTGAACACAGGTCATTGAGGGACATCGACTCAGCCAATGATCATATGGAATACATGTTGTGGTTCTTCTTGTTCGTTTTTCCTTGCATCTCTTTCTCTGAGGTGATTTTTAGCCCGATCTCTTAGGAATTCTCGAAGATGGCCCTCGTTGAACAAACGAGCCACTTCTTCCTCAGCTGTCTGTAGTCTTTTGTTCGATAACCATGCGTGCCATGATACTTGCACATCAAATTCGGGTTCCTTTGAGAAGGATCGGTCTGTATTGGCCTGGGCCACTTGGTGTCTTTGATTCTCCCAATAGTTGAGTCAATCCCCGATGCATCTATGCTGAAATTGTATTCTGATAATCGGGGAGCCTCTGCGGGGTCGGGATGTTTGTCGAACCCGATCTTACTTATGAGTCCCCGTGAAGTTCGACCTCAATTGTTTCTCCGATCGTTCCGAGGAGTGTTACGGCTCGGGCCGTTGTTTCTTCGTTCGACATACGGCTGGTACCATTCTTTGTTTAATCCCGTTCGCGATTTGTGTCCCTCGGTGGCTTGGATGTGAATCTGTTAGGATGAACTGAGCCCGAGAGGGCTCCCAACTGGTCGTCCTTGACCCTGATTTTTGACTGGTAAAGATTGTGCATGTCTAACCATGTCACAGCTGGATATTCGATCAAGTTCTATTTCAACTGTTGAGACGCGATTGAGCTCCTTTCATTCAGACCCTGCATAAAGGCTTGAACTGCCCAGTCGTCGGAGACCGGTGGTAATTCCATTCTTTCCATCTAAAACCGGGACACGAACTCCCTTAGCATCTCGTCGTTCCTTTGCTTAATTTTGAAGACGTCCGATTTTCTCGTGGCCACCTTTATGGCCCCGGCGTGTGCTTTCACAAAGGCATCTTCTAGCATAGAAAATGAATCAATGGAGTTAGGAGCTAAGTTGTGATACCAAATCATGGCTCCCTTTGATAGTGCTTCCCCAAATTTTTTCAACAAAACTGACTCGATTTCATCGTCATTCAAGTCATTTCCTTTAATCCCATAAGTGTATGAAGTTATATGCTCGTTAGGGTCGGTTGTCCCGTTATTTTTGGGTGTATCGGGCATGCGAAACTTCTTGGGGATGGGCATCGGAGCCGCGCTTGGGGGGAATGGTTTTTGTATGAATTTTTTGGCGTCTAAGCCTTTCAAAACTGGAGGTGCCCCTGGTATCTGATCTACTCGGGAGTTATAAGTTTCCACCTTCTTATCATTTTCTTCAATTTTCTTTTCTCCGGACTCGATCCTCTTGGTTAGTTCGTCGAGCATTTTCGCAATTGTGGGGTTAGTTGCCGAGCCACTTTCATCGGGCTTCTCTAGCACTAGTTCTGTACGCCGAGTGTTTACTGGTTCGGCTGTGTTTGGAGTTCTATTCTGACTCTGAAGTTGAGCTATGGTGATTTGCTGAGCTTGCAGCATCTCGAATATCACTTGGAGGCTGACTCCCCCTTCTTCCATTCCCTGTGTTCTTTGGCCACCGGGTCGGGCTTCCCTGCGTATATCTGCTTCGGGGTCCGCGCCTAGATCTGCATTCAAAGCAATGTGCAAACTAACATCAACAGGTTCCAGATTTGGCACTTCCCCTGGGTTTATCAGTGGTACACCGACTCCTGCGTTGCTGTTTTCTCCAAGACCTTCGTTGCCGTGAATGGGTGCGTTTTATGAGCTAGACATGTTTCAGCCTGAAAATCAACAAATCTTGACAAGAAAAAGTGTAAAAACAACGTTTGTAACGAGAATCAGTAAAAAAATAATCACTATTATCTTTAGCCCCACGGTGGGCGCCAAACTGTTTACCTCGAAAATACGAGTAACAATTAAATTTGATTAGTGGTTTTAAAGATATGTGATTTAGTTCAATACCAATTAATAATCAAGAAATATGAAGTAGAAATGAAAGATAGAAGTGAATCAAACCAATGTTACTTAGCAGCAGTGACCTCAAGCTTAGTGACCTCGAGGTGGCTCAGGGCAGTAAGAATAATTAAATAATAAAAATAAAGTAAGAACAATGGAGCTAAAGGACAATGTTGATGAACAGTAGGCAAAAAGGTAGAAAATATATTCTTTTCTCAGTGATGATAAGATATCTTACAAATGATTGGGGTCCCCTTTATATAATAGGGGAGCCCTAAATATGGAATATTTCTATTTACAGTAAGGAATATTCTTGGTACAGCTGTCTAACCGCCTAGTACGGAATCGTACAATCATATTTCGGGATTTGCGCCATGACTTTGGGGGCGTGGCAGGAATCTAGCTTGTTCTGGTACAAATCCATAACGGTACTATTTCGAGGTCGAGCACACTCGACCTCGGTATGCATCATGCTCCGCCCTCGAACTCTGGTCTGGTCCCTCGAGCTCGAACTTGGTTTTACCCGGACTCGGACTTCGGACGACCTCTCAAGCATATAGATCGAAAGCATTCGATCTCGACCGTATACAGATAGTCCCCGCGTTTCTTAGTTGATTGATGAAAATCACACACATTTCTCACACATTTGAAGTCGGAACACTAGATCGATATTTGCCTTAATTAAAGAAGTATTGAATAAGTTGGATTAACTATCATATTAATGACTGACAAGTGTTTTAAATCAAAAGACTGTCTTCTAAAGCATGATAATCAATAACTAACATCACTCGTATAGACCTACGGATAATCTTAGAACAAAAAATACATTCATCAGAAAAGATAAGTACAAATTAGAGGTCTAAAAGCATAAATTTAGTACAATGTAGCAAGTTTTAATCCTTCTTGTAACGCCAACTTTTCAGCACTACAAATATGATTTTTTTTATATATCCAAAATAATTCCTATGTCCATAATTTATGATAATCTTTCGAAAGAAGCTTAAGAAAAAACTCTATGGATTTCTCAATTCGCTCCATAAAACAAAACTACACTTTATAAAGCTAACATCGAAATTCAAAGGAATTGGCAGAGACTATCAAGTCAAAACGAAATGGCATATATGTACTAGAATTAATGAATTCGCAATAGTGAATAGTCCAACTAAGAGAGAGCAAGGGACAGAGAATCCTGTTAGAAATATGCTTTAGAAGCCGCTCTCAGTAAAATTTTCAGCTATTTACTGCAGTAATTTAGTTTGAATTTGAAATAATTTTGAACTAGTCTTTAGGAGTGAACTAGTCTCTAGGAGTTAGTTATTTTCAGCATATTTTGTGCTGATTTTTAGGTCTTTTAAGTTAGTATTTCTCTTATAAATTATAGTCCAAATGCAGTAAAATAATATAGTATTTTCAGCTTTAGTTCCTTTTACATCTATTCCAGTATATTTTTTATTTTCTTGTCATCTTCCTAGTTATTTCTCTCAATTTCTTTTATCAAAAACCAACAATTGGTATCAGAGCCATCTTCTTAAGGGACCTAAGTAAAATCTTTTCTTAAGTGAGATGGAGACTGAAATGAGTTTTTCTCAATTGGCTCCTCCAGTCTTTGATGGTGAAAATTACCAACTGTGGGCAGTGAGAATGGAGACTTACTTGGAGGCTTTAGATCTTTGGGAGGCCGTGGTAGAGGATTATGATGTTCTTCCGCTGCCTACCAATCCCACGGTGGCCCGGATCAAGAGTCACAAGGAAAAGAAAACCAGAAAATCAAAGGCGAAAGCAACTTTGTTTGCTGGTGTGTCTGCAACAATTTTCACGAGAGTTATGGCTCTCAAATCAGCAAAAGAAATCTGGGATTATCTGAAGGGAGAATATACAGGAGATGAAAGAATACGAGGCATGAAGGTGTTGAATTTAATAAGGGAATTCGAGTTGCAGAAAATGAAGGAATCTGAGACTGTCAAAGAATACTCAGATCGGTTGCTTGGCATTGTTAACAAGGTAAGATTGCTTGGTACTAAATTTAAAGATTCAAGAATTGTTGAAAAAATTCTTGTTACGGTGCCTGAAAAATATGAAGTATCCATAACTACCTTGGAAAATACAAAGGATCTATCCAAGATTACCTTGGCAGAATTGTGAAATACATTGCAGGCACAAGAGCAAAGGAGGCTTATGAGGCAAGATGGTATGGTTGAAGGAGCCCTGGCAGCCAACCACAAAACTCAAAGCAAGGGTAATAATGTAAAAAATTACCCGCCTTGTCAGCACTGTGGCAAAAAAGGTGATCCACCATTCAAATGTTGGAAGAGGCCAGATGCAAAGTGCAAAATTTGCAACCAACTTGGTCATGAAGCTGTAATTTGCAAAGACAAATATCAAAAGCATGAAGCAGATGCCCAAGTCGCCAATGAAGAAGAAGAAGATCATTTGTTTGTGGCAACTATTCTTTCAACCAAAAAATCTGATTTTTGGTTGATTGACAGTGGTTGTACAAACCACATAACATATGACAGAAATCTTTTCAACGATTTCACGTCTATAGGAAATAAGAAAGTCAGAATTGGAAATGGTGATTATATTCTTGCTAAAGGAAAAGGAACTGTTGCAATCCCAACAAATTCAGGTACTAAGAAAATTTCAAATGTTCTTTATGTTCCTGATATTGATCAAAATTTATTAAGTGTTGGACAACTAATGGAAAAAGGATTTAAAGTATCCTTTGAAGATAAATATTGTTTCATTTATGATGCAACTGGACTTGAGATTTTAAGGGTTAAAATGAGAGGTAAAATTTCTCATTTGATCCAACCGAAGATGAAGAATGGAGCCAAAAGAATCTACTAAGTGCAGGTAATTCTCCAACTGAGGACATATGTGAAAATAAGGTAAGGAAGAAGTTGTCAATATTTCAGAAAATGCAATTCTGGAAGAAAGTTGACAAGTCTCAAGGCAAGATGCAAATGAAGCTGAAAAATGAGCCAACTTATTTCATTAACAATCATGAGATGCAGCAAAATACAGAAGTGAACTCGATTCACTGCAAGTCCAAAGATCAGTTGGCAGATTTACGTACAAAGTCGCTTCCAGTTAAAGGTTTACAAGGGACAAATTCAGAATTTGCAGCTTCAAAAGCAAGGAGGTGTGTTAGAAATATGCTTTAGAAGCTGCTCTCGGTAAAATTATTTTACTGTTTCAGCTATTTACAGCAGTAATTTAGTTTGAATTTGAAATAATTTTGAACTAGTCTTTAGGGATGACAATTGGGGCAGAGCGGGGCAGGGCAAACCTTAAATGGGGCGGGGCAGGGGAAAATTTGAATGGGGCGGAATAGGGCGGGGCAGCGCAAAATATTATTTTTGTCAAATTTTAATGGGGCAGGGTAGGGCAGGGCACATTAGCCCATAGCATAATGCAAGCTATAAGCAGGCCCAAAGCGTCAGATTTTCAAAAACTTTATATCCTGCGTAACTGCGTTGTTGCTTCTTCGGTTCTTCTTCTTCTGAAATTTTGAACTGCCAGAGCTAACTTTATACTACAATCTGTGAACTAAATCAATTTTTAATCATTATTACTGCTACGCTAGACTAATTTTTTATGTAAAGAAATTCAACAATCCATACTATATGATAAAAAACTATTTTTACCTTACTATTTTCAGGATTACTTGGCCATAAAAAAGGGGAGAAAAATGCACTGCCGCAAATGTTATTCAATTTCAGATTCTGTTGCAAATCGCTCGTGTTGGAGCTTTTTCCTTTTTTCAAATATTAATATTCCTGGTTTTCTTTCATTCATTTTTTTTTCTTGTAAGTACTGTTATGCTACGTTTTAAATCTGACTTAAAAAAACTGAGAATTAGGATTTTCGGAAGAATTTTGAACCTTTTCAAAATGTAAAGGGGTTAAGAATTCTATTTTTGAGTTGGACTCGCTTTAAAATTTGTATAATATAGTTCTGCTCAATTGTGAATGTTTGAAATGCTTGGTTTTGTTTATATAACATTGATAAAAATTATCTTTTAATTTAACCAATATGCATAAACAACTAAATAATATTTTAAATGTTTCAATAGAGTTGAAAAGGTAAAAGAAATTAAAAGCATACTCTAAAATGAAAAATAAAGAGAAAAAAATAAAAGAGAGCTAAACGGGGCAGGGCTTAATAGGGCGAGGCGGGGCAGGGCAAAATTTTTACAAAAGGCTAAATGGGACAGGGCAGGGCGGGTCAAAATTTTAGCGGGTCAAGCCTTGCCCTGCCCCGCCCTGCCCTGCCCCAATTGCCATCCCTAAAGACTACTAGTCTTTAGGAGTGAACTAGTCTCTAGGAGTTAGTTATTTTCAGCATATTTTGTGCTGATTTTTAGGTCTTTTAAGTTAGTATTTCTCTTATAAATTGTAGTCCAAATGCAGTAAAATAATATAGTATTTTCAGCTTTAGTTCCTTTTACATCTATTCCAGTATATTTTTTTATTTTCTTGTCATCTTCCCAGTTATTTCCCTTAATTTCTTTTATAGAAAACCAACAAATCCAAACTATCTGATTGAAAAAAGAAAAAAAAAACTAAAGCTATGATTAATTGGTTTGCACAAAAAAATTCTCCAGAAAAATTATCAAAGAATTGTCTCTAAAGGCCACAGTTTTCTGATCTTGTCAAAGTATGTATCTTTCATCTTGTTTGCTCGATACATGTTCTGAAAAAGAAACAAAAAGAAACCTTTAATCAGAAGGAAAAAAAAGAAGAGAAATAACGACGAACCGATGTTAATTCATTTTTAATTTCCAAGAAAACAAATTAATCAGACAAAAGTAATACCAAATGAAAAAATTAGTCGTCCTTCTTCAGCAAGTGATCCATCTCCTCATCTTTATCAGTCTCGAGTGTTGGGCATCTGCCAGTCATCATCTTCAGTCTTCACAACTCGAGCCATCTCCTCTTCAGATTGTGCTTTTGAGATTACTAAATAGTCATGAAAATTTTCGAAATTAAATACAAGATGCTTGTTGCGCATTCAGCGTCTCATCCATAGCCTTCACAAGCATATTATCTAACTGCTTTTGTAGATTTGATCTTTCTTCCATCAGGTCTTCTATGGTTTTCATGATCAAAGGCTTGGCTATTTTTTGGTTATAATCATTGGATATATGAGATAGAGCATGAAGTTTCTTCTACTGGTACGCCATATCCAGTTCAACCTTTTGAATTTTTTGGGATAACAGGCTCATTGCCTCTTTTTCATTCGAGCTTTCTGCTTTAAACTCTTCAATTTCTGATTCAAGTAATTCAAAAACACAGTCAGATTGAGAGAGAGCTAGAGATGAGTAAAAAAGAATTAGTAATTGAATAGAGTTTAGAAACGTACTCTTATTAGCGGCGTCGGCGTCGGCGTCTTCCATTTTCCGATGATCAATACTACTAAATATTTGAACTACATTTTGTAGTCAGATAAATATTTTGTCTTCTAAAATAAAAATAGTTAGATAAAAGTTAAAACTATTTGTCATGACAAAATAATAGCCACAAATTTAAAGAGACGATAAACTTACCAGTTAATTATAACTTTGGTCGTATAGTTAGGATTGTCACTGCAATAATAGTATTTTAACCACAATAAGTTATATGTGCAAAATTTCATAGGTGAATATTTTTATTTCAGAGACAAAAATAAGAGTTGCTCAAACACTATCAAGTAATGAAAATTCAATTTTAACTATAGATTTTCTCAAAATAATTGAAAATATAGTAATTATGTATAAATTGAAGTATTAATAAACTTTAAAATAACAAACTAAATTGCAAAAGTTAATCTTCAATAATAGATCATTTGTATGCCTATTTGTAGCCTCAAAACTTACCAATTTACGTTTTATTTATCAAACTCATATTTTACTTTATTGCAACATTTTATATTTGGACGTTAATTATATATATTTGGTGTAAAATTCAAAATATATTAACATATATAGAGAATTTATGTATGTATTGTACTTAACTATTTTTTATGTAACTCCTTAGGGTAATTTCTTATATATTTAAGATTTATTTTTAATTAAGTCCTCATATATTGAAGACTTTAAGAGTTGTTTGATATATATATATATATATATATATATATATATATATATATATATATATATATATATATATACACACAACATATTTAAGTATTTTTAATAAGTACTTAAAATAATTTCATATATCTAATGATTCATTTTGAAAATAAGTTCTCATATATTGTAGAACTTTGTCATGGTTTAGGTGCATTTAATTTTAATAAATGACCAAAGCTCCAAAATACATACAATGAACATATTTAACACTACAAAAAATTTATGAAATTATAATTCATTAATTTTTATATAATTCTACTATCGCTATTTACACAAAGAGTTACGAAATTAATTGATACTTAAGTCCACATGAAAACTAATTATGTTATAATTCTTATTAAATATAATGGAATTATAGCTAATTAATATGTGGATGACTAATTATATAAAATTTAAACAACTATAATCTTGTACCATATATGCACACACACACATACACTTAAATCCAGAGAAAAATTAATTATAAATATACAAGTTTCTAAATTTCACAAATTAAATTATACATCGAACATAAGAATTGAGAATTAAATATGATAAAGATATAGGAAGAGAATCATGTTTCTCTTGGGACTATTATTTGATATTTTATAATATTTACATAATTCAATATTATTAAGTTTTACTTCAAAAAAATTTAAGATTTTAATATGGGTTATATAGCAGTGTATAACAAAACTAACAACTAGTATATCATAATTCATATTAAAAAATTATACTTGTAATTTTCAATACATTTTAATTAAGTATGTAATTATTTTTCATTAGATTTGAATAAACAATATCAAATTTAGACAAGATGTTTGTATCTATGTACATTGATCGCTAATTACACTCAATTTAGACAAATAGAAAAGTTATTTATTTAATGGTTTATTTTAATACTATTTTAATAACTTAATAACTACGTAATCTACTTAAACGCTAAAATTAAGAAGTTAATATAATTGAAATAGGAATACATAAGAAAACTAATAATACAGTATAGGACAAAAAAAAAGTTATAAAGAATATAATATATTTATAGAATATCTTTATTTCATGCAAGTTAATATTTTTATTTTATTTAGTATAAATTATGTATTTGATCTTTTGTATTTTACATAGACAAATTTCTTACTTACTTGCATATGTTAGGAGTAGTACTTACGTTTCTAGTATTTATGGCATTTGTAATACATTAACTAAGAAATAAAAGGAAGCATAAAGGCCAATTGGCCCAAACCAAAATTCACAAACCTAATAACATTCTCACTTTATATGGTTCCCTACCCTGCCGCCAACCCCATCCCTCCTTTTCCATTTCCTTCTTCAACAATGCTGAAGAGAGCAAACCAGCGGAATCACTAGCTAGATAGCCCAATGGCTTCTTTTTTTTCCAGGTATATTTATGTATATATATCTTAGGATTTTTAGATCCCAATACACCTATTTGATTTAAAATTTGGGATTTATATTCTAACAATTTGATAGATATTTTGCCGTATTGTGATAGGTATTGAGTGGGACTTTGAAGATTAAAATGTAATATTGGGAGGAGCCACAGTTCGTCGAAAAGACATTACAAAAATGAGGTGATAATTCTTTCAAAAGTTTTTAAAAAAGCATACAGGTTTATTTTCTTATCTTGTTGCTTTGAGTTTTCCACTCTTATTGTATACTAAAAATTCTTGTATTAATGCGCTTTTTGGTTCACTCATTCTTTTGTGTTAATTATTATTTCTTTTAAATTTATAGGGTGCATTTCAATCTATTCAATGCAAGAAGATTAAGGATTCAACCTTGATGCAAAGAGTGAAAGTACTTCATCCTTGACACCAGAAGATCATCTGGTGGCGACATCTGAAATTTCCGGATCAAATACTTAAAACTTAGTTTTCTTTTGACGTGGAACCTTTCATAATTTTATAAATTTATAGATTAATGGTTGCATAATTTTGTATTTATACTCCTATTAGTTTTGACAGAATGTGAGTTTAAGTTTTTTCTATTAACTAGCTGCTATATTAACTAGTTGTTATGTCTCTGTACAAGAGTTTACATACTTCGGAAANTATCTTTTGTACAAGAGTTACATACTTGTGGAAGTATGGATATTATGTACTGTATATAGACAATTGTATATTTTAGAATTAATTCATTAAACTATTTTAGATTTCAATTTGTACAAATAAGTGATATTTAAAGTTTATTACTGTGTATTTTCTATGGTTTGATAAATAAAAAGTATGGATATGGAATATTTGAAAATTTTAATAATAATTTCCTATACTTGATCTGTACTAAAAATCTATTCACCAAACAAAATATAATAAAATATTTAATCGTGGATATTTGACGATTTATAGCCATAAAATTATGGGTTGATAGCTAAATATAAATGCTATAATATAAATCTAATATGAGAGCATAGCTACGTGTTTTAATTTTGTAGCTAAATAAATAACACCTTTTGCCATTTTGTAGCTAAATAAATAACACCTATTGCCACAGTATATCCCTTTGTATCTAAAGTATGGAAGATAGCTACAAAGTTAATTTATCGTGGCAAAAGATAAAATCATTAGCTATAAATATATATTCTTTGTGGCAAAAAGTTTTATTAATATAGTTACATCATAAAAATTCTTGTAGCAATAAGTATTAATCCTTAGCTACGGATGCTACGGAAAAAATTATTGTAGCTAAAGTGTTTAGCCATGAAATTTTTCATGTTTAGCTACAACGTACTTCGTAGCTGTATATACATAATGTTGTAGTGTGTATCTATAAATGATGTTCTTATCGTATCGTTTTAATGATTGTGTCATGACCAAAATTAAAGCCGTATAGTCAATATGTCTATGTGTGCGCGCAAGAGAATATGTTGCGTATAATAGAATTCGGTAGTGGGAATTGCTTGACCATATTCTTTATTTACTTTTGCTGCAAAATACAAACATACTGAAATGTTTTTGATTCCCTGTACTTGGAACTATTGTGAATCTATCTATCTATCTATCTATCTATCTATCTATCTATATTTACTATAAAAACACAAATAATTTATGCTAAATATTAAAATATTAGCAGAATTTTATGCCCCTCAGTATTAAAATTTGCAATATTAAATATTTTTGTTCTGCAATTTAGGAGTCATTGTTTATTTATAAAAGATGTGTGCAATGTGTTTTCTAGATGAAATCAAAATGTATATGCAACACGTCACACTTGCAAAAAACAAACAACTCAAACTCAAGATTTTACATAGCATGAAAATCCAATTTCCGTTTATATACAATGTAAAACTTAGTCTTTTGATGTCAAAAAAAGTACGTCAATGAGGCAACACAACTAAAGATTTATTCAACGTGCTTCCTCCGGTCCACAATAAGTGATTTTTTGGCTGTTTTCGCACAAATTAAGAAATCTGCATTTTAACATTAATTAGGAATAAAATTGACCATATAAAACTTTACTACCTCTCATATAAACACTCCTAATACATACTCCAACACTATTTAACTCCAAGGTCAATGCAGGAAAAAAATAATTAATTCGTTCTTGAAATATGAAAAAATCACTTATTATGGACCACAAAAAAAAGCCGAAAATTCACTTATTTTGGACCGGAGAGCGTATCTTGTTCAATTGGGTCTTTTTTTTTTTCTACTTAAAGAAACTGAAATAGTTAGTAATATAACTCTTAGCAACAATACATGTTGGCATTGGTTATTATATGAGTACATGAATAAATTTTTAAAACATGCAATGAATGAAATTAATTTACCTCTAGAAATTAAGCTCAAACTTTGTGCGTGAATGAATGAATAGATAAAGTCGATTATACAAAATTCAATGAGGCAACGAAACCCTTTATATAGTGGTTAGAGTAGAGTTCAATGTCCTTACCAACATGGAATTGGTATGATTTAGAACTTCAAGAATAGGCAGGACATTGTAGCTAAGCGTTGAACCTTGTTGGTTTTAGAATTCCGTACAAATTCTTATTAGGAAGACGTTTTAATATTACACCTTTGTCCAACCTGTTAATAAAATGATTAATGTATTAAAGAGCATAAAAGTCGATTAATATTATGGGGATATTTTGATTGTTCAATATTTAACATGGAATATTCATACTTTTATAATAATAATAATAATATAGATATTGCCACAAGTTGTATGCTAGCTGAAACTAGTGCAATGAATGACTTCATGAATATGAATATTCTTTCGACTTTGCTCAATTTCTTGTCAACACCACTCTCTTGCTTCTTAATTTTCTCAAGTATTATGTAACTCTCTATATCTGACTCTGAAATTGGAAACAAAAGCAATTCAAATAATAGTGCAGTTAAACCTTTCTATATCAGTCTCATTCAGGGCGAAATTATGTTGGCCCAAGGGTGGTTAACTGAACACCCTTCGCCAAAAAAGTATACTACGTGTTATTGATTAAAAAAAAGACTTTAAACACCCTTGCATAGGCTACTGGCAAACGGTGTCCGAATTTTCTGGCTTCGCCACTGGCCTTATATTTGTTTTGATATTTTTGGCTGCTATAGTAAAATGTTGTTTTAAAGGATATATATTATAACGCAACATAATAATCGATTCCGACAAAAACTTCAACTGTTATTGAAAGAGTCTGACCTGTACCAGTCAGCCTGAAAAAGAGATTAGTGTTTGCTACACATAAGGTAAGATAATTAACTTATCAATTGGAAACGACAGAACTAGGCCATGTGAACATACATAATTAGATGTCTATATGCAAGATACATACCTTCACCTTTTGCCTCGACTTTCTTCAACTTCTTTTCATCAGCCAAATCTTTCTCGGTTTTTCCATCAGTCCCGCTTGGCACATGCGACTCTGAATTTGTCAAGAATATACTTAAAGCATTTGTGAATGTCAAAGTTATTATTAATCAATGAAACTTAATTAGATTAACTTTAATTCATAACATATAGTCCTTATATATGTTTTAGTTTGCAAACCCTTTGCGGCGCTTGCTTCCTAGCTAGAACTCACACAGCGCAAACATAAATGAGAACTAAGCACAGTCTGACTCCCTAGCGCATAGAGCAAGAGTAAGCTACTTCACTCGAGAAGAAGAAATAGGCTAACGATCGGCATGACGTTGTTAGGATCTCATATAGGCCTTTATGGCCCTGACCTGTAAATGGACCTTTATGAGCTTCTAAAATATCTTTTAGTCCATGACCAATACCCCAATTGGTCCTATACATGCCTTTACATTTATCTTGAGCCCGGGGTTTATCGAAAACAGTCTCTCTACCTTCACAAGGTAGGAGTAAGTTTAAAAAATTTATTGCGGATAACATAACATGCTACACATACCTTGATCTTGGAAATCTACTCCATGATTCATCACAATCTCTTTCAACTCCTGAAATACTTTTTGGTGTCCGACGAGGAGTGTCATTTTAGTATTCATGATAGCATGTATTAATTCGAGTTCCATGATTTCCTTCTCAACGTCTTCAAGTTCTGGCTGAATCCAGGATTTAACGAACTGTATCTTTGCCGCCCTTTCTCTACTATCAGATTCAGACGACGACGTTTCATCATTGACGTTCATCTCATCATCACACTGATCCAGCTGATCTCCGGTAACATTTTTTTGCTCAGCCATGAAATTTAAATAGTAGAAACCTTTGCTGATGATTTTGTTTAATTTGTGGCAACACATGTGACCTAGTAGCAATAACCCTATTTATAATAGTATGAAACCTACTGGAAAACTTATTCATATATATTTCTGAATTACATAGTAAATATAAAATTCTAAACAATTTAGGTTTCCACACTCCAGATTTGAATTAGTATTCTGCCGGATTGAATTCTACAACCAAAATATCTTTCGAATATATAGCACGGGGGCACGTTGTGGGGATGTTCATTTATTCATCTGATGATATACTTAGCAAACCTGTGAAATTGTAATATGGAATATACGTCATTTTAGTTTCATAGGTGGGGGAATAACAATGTAAATTCTTTTTTTTTTTTTTCAATTAACTTGATGATACTTCTTTTGAAAGCATGATTTGGTCATATTCTCAATAATACATTATTGTTAAGCAAAACGAAACGTAGAAAAATACTAGTATAAATTTTAATATTTTCCTTTTCAATGTTTTTGGCTAGAATGATTTAATATCTACAAAAACCTTTTATTGCACTAAATATAAGCGTTTATATTTATCTATATATCTATACCTATCTATCTATCTATCTATCTATCTATCTATCTATCTATATATATATATATATATATATATATATACACACACACTAGTTTTTTTGTACGTGCATTGCACGTGTACCTCGCGCTCTCAATCAATAATTAAATAAATAAACCAAGCATAAATTATTAAAAAATAATAGTTTCCGCTAAAATAAATGCAATATTTTTTAATACTAAAAATTATTGTTATTACATTAACATAGTAATTGCATTCAATATATCTAAAATATACAAACACAATAAAACATTTTTAAAAAAAAAGAATTCCCATATTTATCCTGATTGAAGTGAAATCTAGTGAGTGTTAATGGTCAAGATCATCAAAAAAAAAAAAATAATCTCTAACAACTGAAAGATGTAGGGAGCTGTCATTTGTTGTAACAAATGCAAAATGAGAGAAAAAAATTAATGACAACTCAAACAAATTATCTTCTATTATTCATTCTTATTGCTTCAAGTTTGAATTATTTTAATTGACTCTTAATACTATATCATCATTGATTATGTTTTATTTTCTGATTGCTTTAACCACCAATGCTCTATTTATTGAAACAAGTTTATGTATCCTAAGAGTTTTTTCACTTGAATATTTTTAACTAATATGATGAATTTAGAAAGGAATTGGATAGAATTATTTTGTTAAGTGATTAATTCAAAAACTTAATTATTTGCTCTCAACATGAACGAAAATAATTTATTTTTATTGATTCAAATTCTTAATATTAGTTCACCCAATTTTTAAATATTTAACTGCAATTATAATTTTATTTACTATAAATTATGTATTAAGGGATAACAAATCGATCTCATAGTTTACTTTTGGATATTTATGTTTGCGAAATTATTAGTGTTACCAAATAGTTATATTACTTATTTAAAATCCTAAAGGTCTTTTAAATATTAGGCATAAAGTTTCATGATCTATTAATACTTTAATTTCATTAAAACACACGTTAGTTTACCCTTTTTCTATAGAACCTACATCCACTAAAAGTAATATGAAAATAATTATAGTTAAGTTATATATGGAGTTTAAACAAGGAAAAAATATATGTATGGTAAAATACTAATTGATATTAAAGTCCTAAAATTTAGGACTTCTTACCTATCACAAATAAAGAAAGATTTAATAATCAAAATTTTAGTCAATTTTAGAGTTCTAAATATTAGAAAATTAATTAAATGACTATTTTACCCAATGTGAAATCAATTTTTAAAGGGTAAAAAAGACGAACGACATTTCGCTAAGGGCCTTCGTGCTTTTAATATAGTATAGATATAGATTATTATAAAAACATAAATAAAATCATATCTTTTTTCCGTAGCTTTACACTATCTATGCTTTTCTCTCTCTAGAAAACCTTTTCTCTCAACAACGGCTATTTCTTTTCCCCTGACTTTGCACGTACGAGTCACGCTCCACTAGATGGAGCCGCCGGGAGGCTTCCCACCGGCGTGTACGGCAGCACAATCGTCCATAACAGGCGAATCGACCATCAGAGAGGATCATAAACAAGGAAAACCTACATATGAAAACACCATCACTGCCCCATCTACATCCTCTCAAATCCCCAATCCAAATCCCAATCGGCAAGATAAAGAAAAAGTTATAGCAAGACACATGACTCATAGTGGCATGCCGGTAGTGATATTCAAAGCAAAAGACTACTATGGCATAATGGCGGATTCATGTAAGTACACAATTGTGGGAAGATTTCTTCGACCCCGTCCCCAAATTGACCGAATTAGGTCAAGATTTAAGGAAATTGTTCCATTAAAAGGGACGGCCAGAATTGGGGTGTATGACAATCACAACGTCTTCATCGACTTGTTCAATGAGGATGACTGGAAATCTGTTTGGTTTAGAAGAGCAATTGAAATCGACGGAATGAAAATGTGGCTACAAAAGTGGTTACCAGACTTCAAACCAAAGGAGGATCTACCAGTCGCTCCGCTTGGGTTCACCTTCCGGCTCTCCCCTTCCATATTCATGACTGGCACTATATAAAACAACTATTGAGCTCTATAGGTACGCCCCTATACGCTGCTACTATGGGTAGAACTAGGCCTAGTATGGCCAAAATTAGAGTGGAGGTAGACCTCTTGAAACCACATTCACAGAGTGTATTCATGGGACAGGAATACGACGAATCGCCGTTAAAGGGGTATACTTAAAAATTGGAATATGAAGGCGTTCCGAAATATTGCAAACACTGTCGGAAATTGGGCCACTACATAGTTAATTCCTTTCTATTTAATGACTAAAAGAAAGGAAATTTATAGGTGTTTTGTGTGACAAAAAGGTGCCACCAAAACTTAAAGGTAAGTTTTACACCAACTATGTTGTATGGGGCTGGGTGTTGTCCAGTCAATATCGCCCATGTCCAGAAGATGAAGGTAATGTTGAGATGGATGTGCGGGCACACCAGGTTAGATAGGATTATGAATGGAGTTACAATGTGGGTGTGGCCCCTATTGAGAATAATATGCGGGAAACAATGCTCGGGTGGTTTGGACATGTGAGGAGTGTTGGGTTTTTAAGTATTTATGCTTAAAAGTGGTTGAATGGGAAATGCAGGAAAAATGAAATATTTGAGTTTCATTTGAGATTCCCTCCTTGATGAAGGGACATTGTCCCATATTGGAAGAGGAAGAGGTTTTTAATGGGTATATAAACAATTACTCTTCTTCTAGCTCTTAAAGAGTTGAGAAGAAGACAAGCCTCGCGCCGTCGTCGTCGTTGCTCGCTCGGCTCGGCTTCGGCTTCGGCTTCGATTTTACCTCTTAATTGTTGAGTAAATAGCCATTTAGAGTTTCAAGTTGTAGTGTCACGTGTGCAAGAACCGCACGCGCCAACTAACTGAATTCGTTACTATCTGTTAAGAAAGATTAAAGATTAAATTCGTTAAAGAATAACAAATTTTTGAAATCTTGGTAATTAAATGACATCCTTTGGTAACACGAATTATCTTTTCGATTTGTAAATCTAATATGCTATACTTTGCAAATTCCTTAATATTTAATCACTAAAAGAAAGGAAATTTATAGGTGTTTTGCATGACAAGAAGGTGCCACCAAAACTTAAAGGTAAGTTCTACAAAATGGTGATCAGGCCAACTATGTTGTATGAGGCTGGGTGTTGGTCAGTCAAGATCGCCCATGTCCAGAAGATGAAGGTAGCAGAGATGAGAATATTGAGATGGATGTGCGGGCACACCAGGGGCAGTTTAAATAGGATTATGAATGAGGTTATTCGCGACAAGGTGGGTGTGGCCCCCATTGAAGATAAGATGCAGGAAATGAAGCTTAACAGGTTTGGACATATGAGGAGGAGGAGAACAGATGCCCGTTGAGGAGGTGTGAAAGGTTGACATTGGAGGGCCCACAGAGAGGTAGAGGTAGGTCAAAGTGTTAGAAAGTTGAAACCCCAGCTCAATTTGGTCATCAATGGAGATATGATGTTTGAACAAGAGAGAAGAGAAAGGGAGGAGGAAGACCGACCAGACTAGGCTTATCTTCGATATAACCTTGGATCTGTGTCGGCTATCCTTTTATTTGAAGATGGTTATCACAATGAATCACAGCCACACATCAAATCCCTGATCGATTAAATCTGGACCCTTGATTCATTTAATGCTAGAAGCTTCTCTCCTCATGTGAATAGCACGTGAGGGAATATTGTTAGTTAGGATAAAATTTTGCTGTTATAATTAGACAAGTAGGAATAGGACAAGTGTAATTAGTATTTTCTTTTTTCTATTCTTTTATTCAATACTCAATTATGTGTGTGTGTGTGTGTGTGTATATATATATATATATATATATATATATACACATGTACAAATGGTTGAACCGATACACAAAAAATTTTCCAATTCTTCAATCTATCATTTTCAGTTCTGCACAGCTTCATCTTCAATTTCTTACATGATATCAGAGCTTTAAGCTCGATCAACAGTGATTATCCACCATCAAATTCTATCCTTCAGCACCTAGTGAAGAAAATTGGCTGTTTCTGATGAAAGCAAAGTTGCAGAAACCAACAACACTACTAAGGCAGTAGGATATGACATCAATCATCCCTATCACCTTAATAACTCTGATTCACCTGGTATGACTCTAGTCAACACTGTGTTTGATGGAAGAGTTTATCCAGGATGGAAGAGATCTATTCTTCTATCATGTCAGCCAAGAAGAAGCTTGGATTCATCAATGGAGCTTGCAAAGCTCCTAATCTCAACTCTACTGAATAAGAGCAGTGGAGTTATGTCAACGACATGGTTACATCTTGGGTTCTAAATGCACTGTCAAAAGACATTGTTGACAGTGTCATATACTTAAAGACAGCTAAGGAACTCTGGGCAGCTTGGAGCAAAGATTTGGCAAATCAAATGGTGCCAAACTTTACCACCTGCAAAAGGAGTTATCAGGTTTAGTAAAAGGTGACAGTGGCATTGCTGGATACTTCACCAAACTTAAGCGATTATGGGATGAATTAGATGCACTAAATGTAATCATAGCTTGTTCGTGTGTCTCTGTGTGTGAGGGAAAAGCAAAGTTGACTAAGTCTTTGGAAGATAAAAGGTTGATTCAATTTTTGATGGGGTTGAATGATGTATATGCACAAGCTAGAGGAAACATTCTCATGATGAGCCCTTTGCCTAGTATGGATATTGCATACTCACTCCTTTTGCAGGATGAAAATCAAAGGGAAATATATGCAAATGCACACTTCATCTCAAATTCTGCCTCTTTCATGGTTGCTAGACAAGGAAAACAACCAAATGCACAGATTTTTGCTGACTTTGCAAGCTTTCATGGCAGCAGGACAAGGAAGGAATATTCAGAGGTTCAGAAATCAGACCCCAAGAGGGACAGTAACTGCTCAAAAGTTCAACAATCCAGCTCAAAAGGTTGCAAGGCCACAACAAAAATTCAAAGGGAAGAAGAAATATAATCCTAATCTTTCTTGTACCTATTGTGGAAAGATAAGACATACACAAGAGGATTGTTACAGACTAATTGGGTTCCCAGATGATTTTGAGTAACTTATCAGAATCATGTCAAGACAAATGTGGCAACAACACATGAGGAAGAAATTGCAACAGGACAGAACAATGTGAACAAGAACAACAGTTTTGGCCAACAATTAAGCAAAGAACAAACTGCAGAGATGATGGAGGTATATAAGCATGCAAAATTAGCACAAACAGGAAGCTCAGGAATTAATGCCAATGCAATATCTGGTAGTATTCTAAAATACTCACGATCAATGTTTACTAGTTTGAAATCAGATACTTGGATAATTGATTCTGGAGCATTAGAACATATGTGTGTTGATCCTAATTCTTTCTTGTTTCTAATTCCACTCTCTGTACCTTTGAACATCAGTTTACCTAACTCTTTCAAGGTAAGTGTTACTCATATAGGGAATATCTCCATTCTTCCAGGTCATGTCTTAACAGATGTGCTTCATGTGGCATATTTTAAATATAATTTACTATCTATTCATAAGTTCGGTGTCCAATTCAAGTATGATGTTCTACTTACATCTAGTGGGTGTCTGTTGCAGGGCCTCTCAATGAGGAGTCCTCAAGTTTTGGTGAAGTTAGAGAAGGTCTCTACTTGTTAGAACCCACTAGTTTTAAGTCTAGAAGTATGCTTAGTAATGATGTAATTCCATTTCCAAAAGGATGAAATTTTATTCCCAAGTCTGTTTTAGGTTCCAAACCAGTACATGTTAATATGATGCCTGATGTAAAGCTTTGGCATGTAATGTTGGATCATGTTCCAATTTCAGTAATGAAATATTTACATATCCTTCATTGTGGTTCTAATTCTAATTTTATTTGTGATATTTGTCCTAAGACTAAACAGACTAGGAAACCTTTTCCCATCAGTAGCATAAAATCCAAGCATGCTTTTGATCTTATGCATATTGACACCTGGGGACCTTACAAATCTAGCACTTATAATGGTTTCAAATATTTCCTCACTATTGTTGATGATACAGTAGAGGAACCTGGACATTCTTGTTGAGTGTTGTTGGCCCGAGTAAAGGTTAGTTTTGAAGACTGGCAAAGGAACTCACGCATGAACCAGGTCCATCCCTTGTGTGCATAGAAACGGGCAGATTCGAGCATGCAGGATGCACGTGAAGGAGATAAGCTTAAATTGGTGTATTAGTATCTCCTGATCGAAAAGGTTGCATAATTGATAAGGAGAAGGACTCCTTAATCAACGAGAACACTATCCAACATAAGGAAGGAGTTAGAACTTGAAATCAACTAGGACTCTTCCACCAAGGAAGGATTGCATCAGAACTCTAGTTATTTCTTCATCTACTAACTCTATAAATTGCAGGATGTTCTCACATTACATGTGTTGCACAAAAACGCAGAAGTTAAACGTGAATTGAGAGCAAAATAGCAAGTTATTTTGCAAGCAGTTCGTGTGTGATTCAAGTGTGCAAACCTGAAGCTACAAGAACCAGATTGAAGAACCAGCTCCATAAAGAGTTTTATGTGTCTTTCTTTATTTCTAGTTCAATTATAGTAGGTGTTTTCATATTGTACCTTTCAACTTTATCTAGAAGCAGTTGTAATAGCTACTTTAAGTATTCAAGTTATTTAACTTGATGTTGTCGCACTAGTTAGAGGCTGGTTGTTACAACGAGATTAGAGCTAATCCTTAGGTTTACAAAGAATTTTATAAATGTTGTTTTGGCTTAGTGATTTAGTGAAGTGTTGGGGAAAATCCTACTGAGTAATAGGTCGTGGTTTTTTCACCTTTTGAGCCGGGTGTTTTCCACGTAAAAATACTTGTGTTCTTTACTTTTGACATTTATTATTCCGCAACAGTAGTAGAAGGAACAGATAGAAGAACCAGGTCCTTCCATAATCAGTTTAAGCAAAAAATTGGTCACCATACAAATCACCCCCCCTTGTGTGGTATTGAAATGTAAAACATCAATTGGTATTAGAGCGGGTTATCCTTGAAGAGGCTAACACCTTAGGAACAGATCAAGAGGAGTGCACCATCTGGAAACTGGAAAGGACAATCCACTGCTAGGCCTCCACTCTTTAATGGCCAGTACTACTCCTGGTGGAAAAACAGGATGAGAGATCACATCATCAAAGAGGATTATGAACTATGGGACATTGTTACTAATGGTCCCTTGGCTACCATGAAGAATAATGCTGAAGGAGTAGATGTGCCAAAGACTAGAGCTGACTGCACTGTTGAGGATTTGAAGAAGTGGGAAAAGAATGCTAAGGCCAAGAAATGGCTTGTGTGTGGACTTGGTCCAGACGAGTACAACAGCATTCAAAGATGTACTGCTGCTAAGGAAATTTGGGACACTTTTCAAGTGGCTCACGAAGGAACTTCTCAAGTGAAGAGATCAAGGGGAACATTGCAGTATTCTTAATATGTGAATTTCACCATGAGGGAAGGAGAAACCATCCAAGAGATGTATACAAGGTTCACAACACTAACAAATGAACTTAAGTCTCTTGGAAGGATTATCCTTGAAGAAGACAAGTTTGAGAAAATTTTGACAAGGGTTTTGCCAATTACTTGGGAAAGCAGAATCACTGCTATTCAGGAATCAAAGAACATTGCCACTCTCAAGTTGGACAAGCTAATTGGAAATCTCACTGCCTATGAACTTAGAAGGAAAACCATGAAGATGGATGCACCCAAGAAGGAAAGGAGCCTGGCTCTCAGAATAGCTGAAGGTGCAGATCTAGAGGAAGATGAAATGGCTATGATCACGAGGGATTTCAAGAAGTATCTAACGAGAAGAAAGGGTTCTTCAAGAGGTGCAACCTTCAACAAACCAAGGGTCCCTGAAAAACAGACCAACGAGGGCTGCTACAAATGTGGTAAGACCGACCACATGATAAAAAACTGTCCTCAGTGGGAAATTGAATGGAAGAAGGAAAGGGCTGAACGAAGAAACAGGAAGAAGGAACAGGTGATGAACAAAGGATCAACAAAGGCTATGGTTGCTTCTTGGGGAGAGAGCTCAGATGAGGATTCAGAAGATGAAGATGGAGATGAACAAGCACTTATGGCCATTGGGGAATCTGATGAGGAATCAGAGGTGAGTGTGATTCATCTCAAAGACAAGATTAAATTTTTATCTAAAGAGAGTCTATCTGAATTACTGCTAGATTTCATTGATGAATCTAAGGTCATAAATTATGAAAAGGAACAACTGTCTAAGGAATGTGTAATCCTGAAAGCTAAGTGCAAAAATCTGGAACTCAGGGCTAGTGAAAGTGATAGTAAAAATGCTGAGTTGAAGAACCAGGTTCTTGAACTTGACACCACTATACTAGAACTTAGATCTGAAAATTTGAAACAGAAATTAGGAACAGGTAAAAAGAAATCCGATCACACACATCTCACCTTAGAAGAAAATTTAGGAAAAAGGAAGGATGAGATGTACAAAAGAGATGAGCAGATAAGAGTCCTAAAAGAAGATCTAAGCAAGGTTAAGTATGAACTAGACAGAACTTGTAAATGGAATAAGTCCTCTGATGCACTTTCATGGCTACAAGAACAACATAGTAGCAATAAGAGAGGACTTGGCTATGGGACTCCTGCACCTAAGTGGGATCCCAAAAGCAAGTACATCACACTTCCTGAGAACAAATTTTGCACACACTGTGGTAAGACTGGTCACTACAAAAGTGAGTGGACTGCAAAAGAAAAGGCCAGTCACAAGAACAAAACTTTTATTCAAGGGAAAAATAGGCTGCCAGGATGGGCTAAATAGAATTTAATTTTCCCTTTTGCCTATAGAAAGGGACCCAAACTAGTTTGGGTTCCTAAGACTAACCCCTGATATCCTTTTGCGGGTCCAAGTGAAGGGGAGTAGCCAAATATGGTACATGGATAGTAGCTGCTCAAAGCATATGGCAGGTAGCAAGAACCAGTTCCTTTCACTTGAGGACCTCAAAGGAGTTAATGTCTCCTTTGGAAATGGGAAGAAAGGTGAGATCATTTGGGTTGGAAAGGTAGGTAAGACCGATTCTCACTCTATTGAGAATGTCTACTTGATAGATGACCTAAAATACAGCCTAATCAGTGTATCACAACTGTGTGATAGAGGTAGCTTTGTAGCATTCACCTCTACCAAATGTTGTGATAAATCTTACCACTGACAAGATTGTTTTCAGGGAAAAAAGAGTAAAGATCTGTCCACACTTTCAAAAAATAAACTCACTTGCTTAAGTGTGTTGGATAATGATCCCCACCTTCGGCACAAAAGACTTGGACATGTCAGTCTAAGTCAACTCTACAAACTAGTCTCCAAGGACTTGGTGATATGACTGCCTAACATTAAGTTCAAGGAAGACAAAGTTTTTGAGGCTTGTGCAAGGGGGAAGCAGGTAAGATCCTCTTTCAAAAGCAAAAAAATGGTAAGTACCACCATAACGATGGAACTGGTCCATATGGATATTTGTGGACCAATGAGAACTCTGAGCAGAGGTGGAAAGAGATATGTGATGGTGCTTGTTGATGATTACTCTAGGTTTACCTGGACATTGTTTTTAACATCTAAAGATGAAGCAGTTGACATGTTTACTTCTTTTGTTAAAAAAACTCAGAAACAACTAGGTAATCAACTTGCATCAATTAGGTCTGTTCATGGAACTGAATTTGGAAATGCTAAGTTTGCTAAATTTTGTGATGTGCTTGGCATAGATCATAATTTTTCTGCTCCCAGGACTCCACATTAAAATGAAGTAGTTGAAAGAAAGAATAGGACACTTGAAGATATGGCTAGGACTTTGCTTCTTTCTAGTAAACTGCCCCATAGTTTCTGGGCAGAAGTTGTAAATACTGCATGCTACATCATCAATAGGTGCATGACTAGACCACTTGTAGAGAAGACTCCCTATGAGTTACTTAAAGGGAGAAAACCAAATATATCCCATCTTAGGGCATTTGGATGCAAGTGCTTTGTGCACAACAATAGTAAATACTCCCTAGGTAAGTTTGATCCAGAAGTGATGAGGGAGAATTCTTGGGATATTCTTCACATAGTAAAGCTTATAAGATATACAGTAAAAGAACTATGCGAGAATAAAAAATGTATATGTTATTTTTTTAAAATTAACATTCTTTCTGAGAGGCAGGAACAAGATAATGAAGAGATTGGGATGATAAGAAATTCAAATGGTGAAACCACAGTCCAGCCTGAAGATGCATCACAGGAAGGAACAGGTGATGGAACAGGTCCTTCCACCCAGGGCAACATGACAGGGGGAACTGACTAGAGAGGAACTGATCCTCAAACCTCGAGGGAACCTGTCCATGAACCTATTCCTCAGTAACAAAACCAGGAAGGAAAATCCAAGAAGTCCCACTTGACTGCTGTCAAGAGAATATTGAGATACTTGAAAGACACCACTGACATTTGCCTTTGGTATCCAAAAGGTAGTAATTTTAACCTAGTGGGATATGCTGATGCTGATTATGCAGGGTTCCTTGTGGATAGGAAGAGCACCTCAGGTATGGCACACTTCTTTGGTTCATGTCTTGTGTCATGGGCTACCAAAAAGCAAAATTCAATGGCTTTATCTACTGCTGAAGCGGAGTATGTTGCTGCTGCTTCAT